AGGTTATACATAATCCCACTGGCAGACCCTTAACATAGCAGGCAGCCAGGAGCAGGGATGCCAGATAACTTGTCCTAAGTTATAAAACTAGGAAGTAACTGGACAACAGATCACTGTTTGACTGGTGCTAATGATACCCTCCTTTCTATGAGGGAGAACACTGACTCCCTGCTTCTCCCCACTCAGGAAGCGTGGCTGGAGTTGAGGGGCATTTTAATAATTTATGCAATGTGAACTTAAGACTATTTATAGAACAATTAACACTTAATTAAACATGATTTGAATAGTTGTACAGATTTTTATTATTTCATTTCTGCCATTATTATTATTTTACCTTCTCTCCCTTCATTTCTTTATAATTCTTGCATTTGCAGTAGGGCTTTCTTGGTTTGAACCCTTGGGAAGCATGTTGGCATGTCTTAATATGTTTCTATAGTACCTTCAATATAGTTCCCAGCAGCTTCCTTCTACATCATCCCCGTGGTGTTGTCTTTTAAAAAACTCTATTCACAGCAGTAGAAAAAAGCAATAAGGTTTAGAACTTGACCATGTTTTTGTCCCTTGTAGCCCCCTGTGACTTAACTGATGGATTGTTTTCTTTGAGTTTTGATCTGAGATGTTATGCGTACAGGACAGGTATCAATATATTTTTATTTCTTTGCCTGTGTTATCAGAGACATGGAATGAAATCACACACACATGAGAAAGAGAGAGGAGAGAGAGGACAGAGAGAGAGAGAGAGAGAGAGAGAGAGAGAGGGATGCCACATTTTCCTAATATTTAGTATTTTTCATGAATTTCTTATTTGGCCAGTCCTCAGCTTCTTCTAGATATTTACAGGATGTCAGATCTTCCGCTCTGTGTCTTCCGTGCCGCCCTCTCTTGTTTCTATTTCTCTGTGTCTCATAGCCACAGTCCTTGTCCTCAGAACCTAACTCCTTCCCTGGAGCCATTTTTCCATTTTGTCGTCTTATCAGGGTTCCTTCTGTTTAGGGAGTACCAGCATTGTATTAGGAAGCGATCTTTCACACTACTGCTGATAATCCTTCCCATCATTAGAAAAAGGAACATGCTGTTTCCTCCGAGAAGGTCCTGGGCAGCTACCCTCAGGATGAGATGAGCTGCATATTATTCTGATCTCATTACAAGGAAAGAAGCTGATGTTCATGGGTCAGTAACAGTAACCATTGTTCTCTGGGTTTCGTGTGCCGCTCTACTGGCCAGTAACGCTGGTCGCCACGGTCTTAGAAGAAAGTGCCTCGTTAGCACTGGCGCTGCAGTTACTATTTTATTCCCAGTATTATTACTCTGATCACTTCACAGCTGAGTTGAAAACTAGTCCGCATTAGTGCTGCACTTACAGGTAATGGAGACAGACATACACGGGTAGCCACTAACCTTGCCGAGTTCTGCTGAAGCACTGTGAACATTGTTCCATGTGTCATGTCACATCATCTAATGCTTGTTCATTTTTCAGATTCCCAAATTTGAGACTTTGAGAGGGAGGGCTGATGTGTGCATCCTTAGCCAACTAAACAACAAAAGAGTGACACAATTTCCTACTCCCGAAGGAGGCACTTGTGACCTCTGTGCTATGCTGCTTCTGGAAGGGTGAGGCAAGGTTTCTGAGACAGACTGAGACTGTGCCTGTGGAACCCTAAATAGGCAGTTTCAGGGGAGGCCTGAGCAGGAGGCTTTTCGGAGAAGGTCACCCTGAAATGGACCATGGAGACAGACAAGGTTCAATAGAAAGAGTAGAGGATGAAGGCAGGCAAAAGAGACTGGTAATAATAAATTTCCACGATGTGTTTTCTTAGGCCATTTGGTTCAGCAGAACGCATGTGGAAACAGAAAATTTTAGAATATTGATTCATGCCATATATAAGGGACATCTTGGATTTTTGTTCCCAACACACAGCGTGAGACTTTAAGGGATTTGAGTGGATTGAGAGATAGGAGCATAGTGTTGATAAGGTCTGTTTTTCAGAATGGCATAGGGCATTTTGTAAGGGACAAACACGAAGGAGCATGAGTATGACTCAGGTTAAAAGTACCGGAGAATGCAGCATCAGTATTCACAAGTGCATCCATGGCATGGACTTCAAGAAGTGTGCTCCTGGGGCACTCAAAGAAATCTAGAAATTTGCCATGAAGGAGATGGGTACCCCAGATGTGCACATTGATACCAAGCTCAATAAAGCTGTCTGGGCCAAAGGAATAAGAACTGTTCCAAACTGTATCCATGTACATTTGTCCAGAAAACATAACGAGGAAGAGGGCTCATTAAACAAGTTCCACATTAGTAATTTATATGCCTGTTACCACATTAAAAAATCTACAGACAGTCAACGTGGATGAGAACTAAACTGCTGACTGTCAAATAAAGTTGGAGAACTACCAACACACACACACACACACACACACACACACACACGCACGCACACACACACACACACACACACACACATCTATTATATAACCCAGGTCTACCACTCCTGGGCAGAACCAGAAGGGCTCTATATCTACCACAGGGACTCTTGCAGATCTGTAGTTATGTGCACTATTCACAATAACAAAGAATTAGAGCCAGCTTTGATGCCTGTCAAAAGACAAATGTGTAATGAAAGTATGGTTGATACACAAAATAGAATTAATTTTATTCAGCTGTAAAGAAAAATGAAATTTGCAGTAAAGTGGATTTGTAAAGTATTATATTAAGTGAGGTGGTCCAAATTCAGACATAAACCACTTAGTCTCCCCCATATGTAGATCCTAGCATGTGATGTAAATGTGAAGAAATCCTAAAATATTAGAAAAGACACCAAACAAGGAAAAAAGATTTTCTGAGGAAGCCAAAGAAAAATAGGACCATAAGCTGTGAAAGAGGAAAGGAGACTGGGGGAATGAGGGCTTAGAGGAGTCTTCTAAAACATACTTCGTTAAATGATGATGATGATAATAATACTAATAATAATAAATAATAATAATGATGATGATCCTTGAGAAGTCAGGGTGCTTGAGAGTATAGAGGACTTCTCCCTCCAGGTGGCTATACCTTCCTAAAAGAAAAAAACAGCAAAGCCACACTGGGCCAGGCTCTAGGTCCTATGTTATGAGAACCTGAGAGTGAATGTCATGACAGGAGGAGAGTGAGCACTTGACAGGGGTTTATGTTAGAGGGGTTTATGTTAGAGAGAGGACCTGAATGTTACAAGGAGCCCAGCAGAGGTGACCACTCAGACACAGTTTATAGACAATGGGAAAGCTTTATTCCAGCCAGCTGGGACAACACTCAGGAATCCAGGACTCAAGTGTATCCCTGAACAATTATACTGAGGGACTTTTAAAGGCAGAAACCACATCCTGGTATCCCTCTTGGCAGCTATGGAGGGAGGCTTTGTGCAAGCTAGTAGTTTAACAGAAGTGATGATGGAGGAGCAGGGGTTGTTGCACAAGCTTGGGCAACTTGATCTCAGATTCCCAGAATGGATTTGGGAAGTTTTCCTTGGATTCTCCATCAAGGAGATCAAATCTTAGTTAAATCTGAAATGACCTCAGTGAGAGTATAAGATGGAGGAACTCTCTACACTGTCTTGTCCTGTTACACAAGGAGAACAGGAGACATTCCCAAAAAATGTATTGCCAACAGAGATTCCCCAGCAAGGGGTAGTATGGCTTTCCTGGGTCGAGGGGTAGGGGAGTTCTTCTACCTTGCTCCACCATGGGGCATCCTTGTGCCTTCCCATCCAAATGGCTGGGGTAGAGTTTTGGTCGTGTGCTCCTCACAGTCTTCAGGTGGCTGTATAAAATGAGAAGTAGGATAACAAGAACCCAGGCAAGGAACCAGAGCCCCAAACACCTGCGCATTCTGGCCTTTAGCCAGGACAGAAACTCATGGTAAGGATAAGAATTGCAGTTCCTGTCCCTAAAGTTGACTAGAAAGTTCCTTTCTCTGTCTCACACCATTATTTAAAACTTTGCTATTTTGAATAAAGTTTTGAATTAAAAACAGAATATACTGTAAAGCAAACAAAAAAGAACAGCTTGGAAGCTAAATGCAAAAATCTAGAAAGCATTTCTTGTTTGTTTTATGTTTCTCTTTTAGACAGGAACTCTCTATGTGACTTGGGCTCTCCTGGAACTTGGTATTTAGAGCAGGTTGGCCTAGAACGGCCTCTGCTTTGATGTGTTGAGATTCCATGCATGCACCACCACACCAGCATAAGAATCTAGGAAATACTTAATGAGAGCCTGATTTGGAGGAGTGAGAAAAGGGTGGATAGCTGGGAATGGCAGGTAGATGTGAGGAATGAAAGTGATGGTTTGGCAAGAGAAGTGAGAAGACAGGGTGAGGAGATGGTGGGTCTAGCCAGAATCTAATGGAGACAGCAGTCCCAACAGATCTCTCAACATCCACTGAGACCTATAAGCCAAAAGCCTTACACAGGGCCCAGGGTCCTTACCCGGAGCCCACAACCACTTAGCAGAGTGCAGAACTCCTTCATAGAGCTCAGAGCCCGGAGCCCCAAGCCCTTACCCAGAGTGCCCTGGGCTCTCTTCACTCTCTACATGGTAGCTTCTGTCTCCTCCATTTATTTCTGGAACATCAACACGCTGCCTTTGATTTTTATGCAGAGGCCCCATGGAGGGAGGGAGTGTTTGTTCAGTCTGTTGGAGCAGAATATTCTATAAACTCATGGGAATCTCGAGATTCCAATCAAGCAAGTGTTCTACTTGACTCCCTCTGTGTTGGCGGATGGATGTCAAAGGCACAGTGCGGTCTCCGTTTGCAGGTCACTGACCAGTGTATGAACAGGAAACACCTTGGGAAAACGGTTTTTTCTAACTACTTCTCTATAGTATATAAAGTTCTCTGCTATAAATGAGAGAAAACATATGCCATTCACTGGAGGGCAGGTAAGGGAACGTCTTCAGAGACATTTCACTGGCCATTAAGGGCTTGGAGTAACGTTCTTTCTTCTCTCTCTGCCTGTGTTTAGTGTTTGTCAGGTTCAACTCCAGTCATGGTTTCCCAGTGGAGGTCGATTCTGACACCAGCATCTTCCAGCTCAAGGAAGTGGTTGCTAAGAGACAGGGGGTTCCAGCTGACCAGCTGCACGTGATTTTTGCTGGGAAGGAGCTTCAGAATGACCTGACAGTGCAGGTGAGTCTCCCTGGGTGGGTGGTTCCTGGGATGTAGCAGGGCCCATTGCCCATGCAGCTTCGGCTGCCAATCTGACATTCGTGCCCGAGATCTAATAGAATAAATAGTGCCTGGGGATTCCTTGAACTTTACTCCACACTGCTTCATTAATTCTGACCTTCTTAATTATGCATTAGAACAGCAAGCAGGAAGGATTGGAGGAACAAGTGTGAGGGAGGTGAGAGAGAAAGAGAAGCTAGGAGCTGGGCTTAGAGAATAAATGTTTACTGACCGCAGGAGCAGCAAGGCACGATTTCTGGGTCTGTTCAATTTCTACCGTCCATATTCCATTTGAATCTTAATGAAGAAGTGTTCAGATAAATTGTTCCCAATGAGGCTGCTCAGCCCATGCCTGCATGAGGGATTTATAACCCGACTGTGACCCCTGGAGGACAGTCACAGCTGCTACTTGGACTACTGCAGGCGCTGGCCCGGGGCCCCATATGCAGAGGGCTCTGAGAAGCCTGTGGACAACATCAGAATTACACAGCAAAAGGCTATCTTTGTACATCCAAACTTAGGTCCAGTTACCCCCAGTCTATCCCCCTGCCACAGTACTGAGTTGATCTGCTTCCCTGCCTCTTGTTTCCTGGGTATCTTGCATGTTGTACATTTGGAGCTCTGCATTTTGTAGGCATGCCAGGGACTGGCTAGGAGTTGATGAGCAGGCCCCATCACCCAGGATGGGAGACCAGTGAGTGGTGTTTTGGGAAGGTCAGCAGAAATGAGCCACATTTACTGCAGGGATTAGAAGCACCCTAACCCTAACCCTCCCTGCCTAACACAGGGTGATTCTGCTTCTGCTCACAGCTGGGCAGGCCTCAGACTGCCCAGCCCAGTCAGTCCTCTTGTGGGCCAAAGTATTGCTGTTTTGTGAACTGCCTTCTGAATGCTGCACACAAAGGAACTATAGAAATGCAAATCACCGCCGCCATTCTCCTGCTCCCGCTGATGGTGGTGGGATTCACACTCATTGTGTAGAGACTGCTGAGCTTTGCTTTCAGGAGATTTGTTTTCATAAGGGAAGTGCCTGCACTAAAAAGTGTTTTGATTTTTTTTATTTCAGTCAACTTTTCGATGTACCTGCCAACTTCTAAAGCTAAAATTGTTTCCTTTACAAATAAATGGTTTTAAAACTGCTTCTTGAATCCAAATAAAGTTTATTGTGAGACCATTTAGATTCTAAAGCTGGCTCCTGTACCTGGTAGGGTGACGAGTTTAACAGTTAGCTTTTTCTTATTCAGGAAGACTAATTGTTGCAGATGACTGATTTTTTTTTAAATCTGTGTACTGATTCAAGAGTCTTATTTTGCTTAACATTTTTTGAACTTTCAGTGTTCAGGGCTTCTCAGAGGATTCCATGAAAAGGCAGAGCTTAGTTCACCTTTATGGAGTCTGCTTTTTACCTGGGTAGGGCTCCCAAACTAAAGGAACACTAGATCAAACTGACTGGGAGCACCACAAAAGGATAAAATCATTAGCAATGCCACATACTTTAGCCCAGTGCCTATAGTATACATACAAGTGTGCTGAGATATATGCAAATGCACACACTCACATGGGTGTATATATATATATATATATATATATATATATATATATGAATTTGTTCTGACTTTCCTGTTATAAACAATGGAAATTTGGTAAAAATAGAGAATTAGTATGTAATGCATTACATAAGAAGTTTGGAAGGTTCTGGTAAAGAACCGTGATGCCAAGGAGTTTGACACAGAGGTATGTTACCTGCTCAGCTCAGCCTGTCACTGAAAGGAAGCAGGCCTACCAGGAGAGCCCCCAGAGAAGTGATATCTGTCATATTGTACCACATGTGCTAGCCAGTGACTTTATGTATAGCTGACTTCTACAGAGATGTAATAAGTATGAACCAATTTTGCATTCATTAAGACTGCTTCACTTAACATAATGTCATACTAAGTGTGTGCATGGTATTCTTGCAGGGCCTTTATCCCTATCTACCTCTTAAGTCATTAGATCATGTCTAGTTTTTAATGTAACAAGTTAAGACAAACTGAGTTTTACATATGCTATGCACAGCTAGAGAATTTGGCTTCTTTTCTCAGATTGCTCATTTTAGAGACAGAAATAATAATAGACCAAATTTTGCAGCAGCTTTGTAAGAAAGGAATGCTTTTGTTTATATAAACATCTTCCATATACAAGTACCGTGCACATCTGCACTGTTATTAACAGTACTGGTATCCTGATTGCCATCTTTAGCAGACACTTGCAAATTTAGATCATCTCAATGCAAGACTTGCCTGAGAAATCATAACTGATACATGTAAAATAAGGTAGAGATGAGGCGATGATAACCATGTAAGTACCTTGCTGTGCTGTATTGCATGTATATGTGAACTATTTACATACTATAACAAAAAAAATTCCTATTTTTTCCTTGCAAAGAATTTGTGTCAGCTCTTGCAACAGAATACTCAAAACCCACACAGAATATGCAAACCCTGCGACAGAGCATTCAAAACTCACTTGATTCACAGGTCGCTCCTCTCTACTCAGTCAGATCTAGCTGCTTGTCAAAATTCCTCAAGTCACCCTTTCTAATTGTGAATTTACTATTAAAATTGTACGAGGAAAATGAATTCTAGCCTGGTGTTTATATTCCAGACTGTAAACTTTACAGTTGTATTGACTGCTGCAATGAGAGAGACTTTGGTCTCTATTTAGATTCTTGAGAAGAATTAAGACTTTTTATACTAAATGCTTTGCTGTTAGTACATCAGCAGAGGGTGAGCCAGAGTATTAGTCAGTGTTAGTATTATGTATGTATCAGATACGTATGCATTTATAGCAATTTATTATAAGAAATTGACTCTTGTCATTAAGTCCCCAGATCTGCCATCCAGTGCTGCTCCATTCCAGTACACAGGAGATGGTGGCATAAATCTAGTTCAAGGCTTAGCCTGGGAAGAGCCAACATTTCAATTCAAGTCTGAAGGCAAGGAAGAGAACCATGTCCTTGCTCTAAGTCAGGCAAGAGGAACCCTTTTCTCAACTCTCGGCCCTTTTGCTCCCTAGGACGATCCTCAGCAGACAGGATATGGCCTGCTCACACTGACAGGACAGTCTGCTTTCTCAGGCCACTGAGCCAAACATTGATCTCATTCAGAAACACAAGGCACACTTAGAATAAGCTCTGACCATTGTCCAAATGCCCCAAACTCCTCATGTTGACACACAATTAGCCATCATAGCCAAAACATGAGATACATGTTTAATTGTAGCGAATAGGGATGTTATTTAACTTGTATTCTCTCTTCAATGATGAATTTAACTTTCAGCAAATACCCAACATAAAACAGAACCATTCATTTTACATAGAATCTTAGTCAATGTTCTATTATGGTGAAGAGACACTGTGACCATAACACCTATTGAATTGGGACTTGCTTACGTTTCAGAGATTTAGTCCATTTTCATCATGGAAGGGACATGGCATGGAGGTGTGCAGGCTGACACGGTGCTAAAGAAATTGTGAGTTTCACATCCGGATCCACAGGCAACAGGAAAAGAGACTCTGGGGTTGGAATGGGCTTTTTGAAACCTGAAAGCCCAGCCCCAGTGACACACTTCCTCCAACAAGGTCACACCTACTCTAACAAGGTCATACCTCCTAATCCTTTCAAATAGTGTCACTCCCTGGTGACCAAGCATTCAAGCCTATGGGGATCAAGAATATTCAAACCAGTACACATGGGAATTTTCTGTTTTGTAGGATTCTCCTAAATGGTCATAAATATCTTTGAATAATACTTTATGATGTCTAAAACACACACACACACACACGCATGCACACACACCATTACTTTATATGAATTCTTGTAGTAAATATAAAAGTATACCATTTTATTGTTATCCTTCATAATTTTATGATGTCAACAGATCTGAGCTGAGAACAGACACTTAGATTTTAATAATAATACCCCAAAAGGAAAATTATTTAAGTAGCAGTATTTTTCCTGATGGCCATGCCATTACATGTATTTCAAAAGCTAAAGCTAATAGGTCACTGACTTTAACTGATGAGGTAAAGCATGTATAGTGATCAAAAGAACTAAGGCTACTATAATTGTCAAGAAAGTTTACCTGTTACTGCAGGGGACATTATGAACCATTTTTATCATGCCTCTAATTAAAGTAGGAGTTCTAAATACCTCGAATCATTTCTAAATTTTGTGACTGTTGTTAAACTGAGTTCTTGAGAACTGATATTTTCTTAATGCCACTTTAACCTTTCTCAAAATCATCATTTCCTTTTTATCGTATTTATTATCTTTTTGACTATAGAATTAATACATATTAGTTATAATAATATTTGGTCTTTTTGAGACAAGGTCTCTCTATTATATAGTTTTGTCTGTCCCTGAATTTTATGAAAATCAGGCCTCTATCTACCTCTCTCTCTCAAAGATCCTTTCTGCCTTAGCCTCCCAAGTGCTGAGATTAGAGGTGTACGCTATCATGCCTGGCTTGGTTATAATAATTTTAAAGAAAGGGTACCATACAAACATACGTCTATAACTCTGCTTGTTTGTGGTGCTAATTAATTAGTGTTATTCTTTTTAAAATGGTAATAACCGCATAATCACTTATATTTTCACTTTGTTTCTTTAATTCAGAGTGTTGTATATTTTGCTAGTATATCCGAGTATACTGAAAAAAAATTTATACTTGATATTTATAGAGTTTTTATTAAATTGGATCAGTGGTTTCAATTTTGAAACAATAGCAAACTATGTTCATATTGGAGCCTCATTATAAAGACCTGGGCACTTTTTAATTTAAGTGTGCAGTTGGTGGGATTTTAGTATGCTTTGATATTCTTGCATAATTCTAGAATATGTTTGTGGCAATTCGGCCGTCATTACGTAGTCACCCTTGTATTCTACAGTGTGAGCTGTAGAACGTGAAGTGAGGGAGAGCAG